GCTTCCGCAAGGGTAGGACCTCGCAAAGAGCGATCGAGTGGCACAGCAGTAGCCAGACTGATGAATTTCTCCGACATCTTCTTAAGTGTAAGAAGATGACAGGCATCCAGCAAGGATAGAGCCACCGAAAGCCTGTCCAGGTAGCGTCGCAAAACGGACTCAAGTGGTAAGTGCCTCGGTACATCCACAACCAACTCATCAGGCTGCGTGCTTAAGAGTGATTGCAGCAAAGCTGAATCAGTCCGAGGGCGACGCTTCTCAGTCATAGCCTGTTCGTCAGACTGAGATGTACGAAGGCGCCACGAAACCCAGGAAATCTGCTTACCCTCGACAGCTTCATGAAGAAGATTCAAAAAGCTGAGAGAAGGCAGAATTTCAGGAGAGATCAGTTCAGACGGGTATTTACGCTGAAAATCAGCCAACATGTCAGACAGATCTGTAGCCGAGAGCTTCGTCTTGGGCCCTTGCATTGAAGTCAGGTCCACCCCAGCCGCAGGACTGGGTTGAGTTGACCGATGACACTCCTTAATGATGCGCCGCAGAGATGCAGCTTCCGGGGAAAACAGCGGAACAGTTGGGTCTGAGCCTTCCGGTCGCCCAAGCAAAGATTCAATGAAAGCTTCCAGCACATCCAGGCTCGGAAGGGCATGAGCAAGAAGCGCCACCGTATTAAATCCAGCTTGATCAAGCCTGCGACGGACCGGTTCAGGAGCTGCCCAGCGATCCAGCAACTGCTGGAAAGCTTCGCGATCATCCAACTTGAGATCGTGACCCGCCATGGCTCAGTCTTGGCACCCTGGCTGCGAACCTGTGACTTGGCCATATGGGTTGGACAAAATAGACAAGGAAGAGGCTGCGACGACACTCTATGCAACACAAGCACTAGCACAGCCTCACTTTATATAACGCACCACAGCAGCGTGCCTTGGCGCCATCACACATCTGCACAGCAATCTCCCATCAGGGCGGTTGCATGGTGAGCAGAACGTGACTTGACAAGTCAACCCAAAAGAGCACCGGTCAAGGTGAGCAAAGGACGTCTCTACCAAGTGAACCAAGCGTGGTTCAAAGTAGGAATGTCCCAAACCCACCAATTCACCAAGTCTTGACGTTCAGCAATTCGCCAAAAAGACCAAAACCGATGCAGCCGAACTTTGGGCATAAAAGTGGGAAAAGAAGTAGGCAAGCATGACCCCAAGCGTGGGGCAGCACGAGGATAGCCCTGGAATCGCAAATGCGAACACAGGAGCACCTCAGGCAGGCCGACAACACCCCCCCCTTTCGTCGTTAGGAAGCCACGTGCCGACGGCAAGCATGCCTAACTATTCAGCGAGAAGAGAGGCAACGGCCGGATCCCTGCCACACCCACGTTTTAAACATAATCTCGCACCTTTCGGGATGCAGGAAGTGCGCTGCAAGGATCCCAGGGTCAACGTGCCCCTAACAGAGCATCCTGGTCTGAGCGCAAGCGGCTCCCCCCCATCTGAAGGTGGAGAACGAAACTGGCATGCCGGATGGTCTGGTCTGCAGACCTTCGCAAGATGCACTATTTGCATAATTGAGTTATAAAGGAATTCATATTCTTCAGCTTCTCCTAAGTCAGTACTCGGAGCATCCTTGTTGACAATCTCCCACGGCGCAGATGGCGCGGCTGACCTCGATTCAACATCTGGAGGGTCGGTGCCCTCATCTGAGTCCGAGCTTGTGTCGCGATCCAGCTGCAGCGGAGCTCGATCAGCCAGCCGAGGAATAACCGTCGGAGCCCCAGAGACACTGCTGTCAAGGGGAGGGACATCTACCGTAATGTCGGGCAGAGAAGGTCCGGCACCCCGAAGCGCAGGGCGGAGAGGACGAAAACCTCCCGCAACTGCTTGGACGACCTTTTGTTGCAAGGCCAGCGGGCCAGCAATGTCATCACGCCCGTACAACCTAGACATCGCTTGTCCAGAGGCTGCACGATGATGACCTTGTTCCCGACGCAAACCTTCATCCAAGAGGAGTTGCTTGGAAATCGATAAAAGTGTGACTTTAGCGCTGTGCACACCGATCAAAGATAGATCTGGTCTGTCAGACGGACTGACATCAGAGTAACAGTCAGCAAGAAGCCGTCGTAGCAGAAGAATGCCAGCATCACGTGACAGTGGAGCAGCAAAAGTCGGTGAGTGATCATCCTCACCCAGATGTGCCACCAGAAAATCCGGTGTGAAACCCGGGTTCGCAACCGAAGTTCTTTGCACCGCCTGTTGAACCAGACACAGCCAGGCCTGTCCCCACCCTGGGTGAGTCCAAGGGCGAGTGAGAAAACCTGGGGCAAAAGCCGCCCAAGGCATAGATCTCGTGGTAACCTTGGTACGAACTGAAGTCCCAATCAGAGCATGTCTGTCGCAGTGGAGATGTGAAGGTGGACTCCACTGCGCGTCGGACCAGCGAAGGCTAGCCCAAATGCATACGAGCACCATGCCGCACCGGAGTCGATGACCTGCTGAAAGAGAAGTATTCAACACCTGACGCTCCAGCCAAACTAGGAATGAAAGTGGCAACGGTGCAGTTTCCCGGCGCTCCACCGCATTGACATTCTTACAGAATGCACGAACAATCTCGGAGCGGAGCGATTCTTGCAAGATCTTCAGCCCCAGGCGATTCGCCACAAATCTGAGTGCTTTGACCCAGGAAATCGCAGAGCCCAGCTTGCCTTTCGAATGTACTATGAGAAAGTCAGCAAGCAACGCCACTGATGGTTCATAGCAAGAACCCCCAGCACAGGAAGAAAAGCTGCTCCATTGAGTCCATTTCGACAGATATTGCGATAACGTAGATGGAGCGTTAGCTTCAACCAATCTGGCAATAAGAATCGAAGAATTGACACTAGTCATGAGCCCAGAGACCAAAGCAGAATGTCGAGCTGCCTTCATAGCCAATTCAAGCCACTTGGAAACTTGCTCATGTTTCGCATTCGTGAAAGCCTCCATCATAGTACCGTGGTACTGAACAAAATTGGATTGAGGAGGGGGAGGAGGAAAAGTAGGCTTGATGCACAGCTGTTCAGGTTCACCCAGACCCAAACCCTTCCGCTGCAAGGCAGAAGACGAGGTCGAGGCAGCAGGAGCTCGAAAACGAGGTCTCAAGCTCGGTGGAGAGGGCGGTGCATCCTCAAAGCATTGCGCAAAGGGGCAGGAAGGGGCCGCAGGGCAGAGACCGGCTCAGGCACACCAGGCTTGCGGCGGGAACCATCAAGGTTCCACCTACTGTCGGGTACATCCATGGCAGGCCAGGACCTCAAAAAACGAGAAACCTCGAGCACGCGGGCCCAAAGGCAAGGAAACAGAAACCTCGTTGAATGCAAACTTGATGCTGATGCCACAACAATTCACATGGTGAGATGCACTTGTTTGCTGGCTCGGCCGAATGTCGATCCAAAAGACCAAATGGCCTAGAGGGGAGGACCTAGACCCAAAAGGAGGGAGGAGGAAGCAAACAAAAACCCGGATCCCGCGAAACCAAAAACCCTATGACAAGCTCATCTTCAGAGGTCACCAAAGGGATTCGCGCCCGGATCACGATGGGAACGAGCGCCCTCACAGCCTCACAGTTCGTCGAAAGGCGGCATAGCGGCCAAGGAAGCAGCTAGGCTGCTCAGAAAATCCTCCATCCTTTGAAGTCGCACTGCAAATGTGCCAAGGTCTGTGCCCGATGCCTGTGAATCAGCCTGAGTGACGTTGCAAGAAGCTTGGCCTTGCGACGACAGCGTTTGCACTTGCAAAGTCAGATGAGCCACAAGGTCTTCAACACGACTCAAGCGAGCTGGCACACTGGAATCCAAGGCCGAGGCCGCCACCTGAGGATCCCCCGAAATGAAAGGAACCATCAATCCCAGCGAGCCCCGCAAGTGATTGACATCGTCCTGGATCAAAGTCCTGAAGGTTTCGAGGCGGTGCACCCTCCAGTCCAACGCGGCCAAAAGCTTGCGATGACCCTCACAAGAAGGACAGCTCGACGGCATGGAAGGCAGCGTACTGGTGGTCTGAGCTGAGCACACATGAGGCCGATGACATGATGTCGGCGACCTTGCAAGATCCTCCTGATCGCTGCATTCCTCAATGGGGTCTGACTGCGGTGAATTATAGCGCAGGCAGGTATCACGAGGCAGCATTGCGCAGAGACACCCTAGATCAACTATGGCGGATCGTCGTTCAGCCCACAACTGCAGCATGGAAGAGAGTTAAGGCCCATGAAAAACAGCACGTTGCAATGCATCGCACAGACCTAGGTCGGAATAAAGGCCAACAGAGGCACTGGCAAAGCATGCACTATTTCCTCCTCAGGCCAAAACTCAAGTTGTAAAGGGGCGTCGCCTTAAAAGAAAAACACCAACAGAGTCCGAATTGGACTAATCTAGGGAATGCAAAGACCATTCGACACTCCGTGGGTCCACGAGGTCGGTGTTGTCAGCAGTTTTCTCAAGAACATGAAGCCTGAACTCCAGATGCTCCACTGATATGGCAAGTCTGCGATAGAGCAGCTGAGTGCGTGAAGCCAGGGAATGAACAGCATCAATCCTGACATGTAGATCAGCAATAGCATCGAAGACATCCTGTTGCAAGGATGCCACAGACTCATCCAGCTCACGGATTGCAGCATTAGAGGCCATGAATCGCTACCAGATGCAAACAGTGAAGGCAGTAGCCGAGCTGAACAGCAAGACGTACACGCAAGCAATGCACTGCGATCGAGGGCCAGACTGGTCACTGTCAGAGTTAATGCAGACGCAACGAATGCCACTGAAAGCAATTGTTGCCAACCGGGCCTTGAAGGGATATCACTTGCGCTGGCAGCCAAGAAAAACCCTTAGCAACGAAAAGGCACTAGGGAAACCAAACCAGAAGAGGGGAGGGGCCGAACAGGAACCCAACAACCAGAAGAACCCCAGAAAAGGAAGAACAACCACAAACCCGAAGAATGCACAGGCAGCATATTTCACGGCACTTGCAGGAGTCAGGCTTCTCTGCATAGAAACTGCAAACTTGGCGACTTCCAGGCAGCAAGCTGGGTAAGCAAGAATGCACAAAGCTAACTGCAAGCATGTCGCACCACTTGAAAGCCGAGCACCTAACGGTATGGCGCCTTGGCAGACAAAATTGAGCACACTTAGGGAGGCGTTCGAGGTGAACGGCTGCTCCTGGTAATGCCCACATGAGCACGAAATCGCTGCTGGAGTGAAATAACAGCCTCCGCAACTTCTCGCCTAGAAACATCATGGCGATGGACCTGATCAGATAAGTCCATCAGGCTGCTGCGCAACTCCAAAGCAAAGCGACGATGGTCGCCGACCTCCTGTTCAAGCAACCTCACACGATGCATAGTATGTGCAAGGTCGACAAAAGAGTCATGACGCGTTCTTCCAAAGTCTGCCGGCCCAAGACTGAGGTCTCAACGGGCAAGGCTGCAGAAAAGGATGCATCAAAGGAAGCATGACTCTCCCACTGGAAAACCCGTCCATAAGCCTCCGCTAAGGAATCGGTGGAAGTCTCGTGGATGTGTACATCCTCACCATCGGTCGCCTCAGCAGCAACCTGCTCATAGTCCGCAGGGGCCATAGAATCAGCAGACGCCGACACAGCTGAGGCAGCTTGGGCAGACGAAAGACCAGCATTCTCAGAGCACGACGCCATGAAACTTCCCCCGCTAGACTTCTAGGATGCAGGCCCAGGGTACCTCAAAGCGTACAGCCTCAAGGCTCAAATGAAAAGAGGACCTACGTCCTTCGTCGAAAACTTGAACCAAAAGGCACACGGAAAGAGTTATATGAAAAAGGCGTGCAAGGAAAACGTGCATCAAAAACTCGCCTTCCGGGCTTTGAGGGATGCAAACACAATCGTTTAAAAACGAAAACCGGGTACTCGCATAGATGGAATCGACATCAATGCT